AGCATTTATAGTACAGTTGGAAATTTGACTTGTTACAAGGTGGGTGGGATTCAAATTGTGTATTTGTAGGGTCTAGTAATTCCCGACTTCAGGTCACTCATCTATCCATTTAGACTATTAAGAATTCAAAAACATTATATCATACTTGAGTAGGCAGCGGGTCTTCAGCAAAGTATGGATCCTGCATAGCCTGTTCTGAAGTGATTCTTTTGTTAGGATCCATCAGTAAAAGTCTTTGTAATAAACTAAAAGCTTTACTATCTGGCTTAATCTTATGCCTGTCCATATATTTGCTGAGTGAGCAGTTCTGGTAGCTGTAATGAATATGAACATATTAAATTTAGTTTCATTTTAGACCAATGCATCCTCAAAATATTTGTTTTTCAATTTACTTTGATCTCTTGAAATCCTTAACTAGTGTTGCATGTTCTGGCATTTTCCTTATATCTTCCCAATCTTTTTCAAGTGGAAATCCCATAACATTAAATATTCTATCTAGTTGATCATGATGATATGGATTGCTTGTTTTAATGTCTTCTTGGCGACAATGGAAAATAGGTTCAGATGTTAATAGTTCTGCGAATATACATCCTATAGCCCAAATATCTGCAAATAAATGAGATTTTCTTAAATTACTTTTTTTTTTACATATCTTTTGACTTGGTTTTAAACCGTGGCTCTACACATTTCGTCCAGGAAAAGTATCAGTATGAATACTTTCACTTTAAAAAAAATCATGTTAATCCATTGGTTTGTATTGACGTGAAAGAACAACATTTTAACATTACAATACACATATAATATTTTGCACCAATGAGTCTATACTTCATGAGCTCAAAATAATTGAGTGCCGCCTTGGCCTACTGCAGTCCCATATCCTGATATTTTTGAACAAGTGTCATGGGGTGGGAATCTTTCTATATTCTTCTTCGATTACATTATATTTTATGTTTACAATGAACTACTGATATGGTATGTAGTTCACAGAATGCACAATTACCGACCGGGTTTACTGAAATTTCAGATGAATTTCAGCTATGTTAAGTAGCAATCCAAAAATGAAAATAGTATAATAGTCTTTATTTTCTAAGCTTTTTGGGATTTATTTAAATAATGATGAATTTAATAAAGTGCTACCAAGTTGTTAATTCCATGCTGAAGAGAAGGTGTTTTACCTGTCAAGTGTAGACGTCAATTAAGTAAAAACTACTTAAGTAAGTAAAAGGTAAGTACTTAATTTTATGTGACTGTAGGTGAATTATTGTAAGAGTAATAAAATATATACCTATGGCCTTAGTGTAATGTCTGGCACCAAGCAACAGTTCAGGAGCTCTGTACCAAAATGTGACTACTACTGGATCTAAATCAGCAAGTGGTTTCAAAGGTGCATTGAATAATCTTGCAAATCCCATGTCAGCTATTTTAACTCGGCCACGCTCCGGTCCTTCACCCATTACTAATATGTTGGCTGGTTTCTGGAGTATTAATTGTAAATAACATATATTGATATTGAACAAAAATAATATTTATCGATTCATTAAGTTTGATTTATGGTACACCAAAATAATCTATATATATATAAAAATGAATTGCTGTTCATTAGTCTCGCTAAAACTCGAGAACGGCTGGACCAATTTGGTTAATTTTGGTCTTGAATTATTTGTGGAAGTCCAGAGGTTTAAAAGGTAGATAAATATGAAAATTTTCGGAATTAAATAAAAATAACAATTTTGTTTTTTCCTTTGATATGTCCCCCGTCTGACGGATTCCTTCTGTTTGTTTTAAGTTTATTTTATACAAAAGTTTAGGTCTTTTATTTATCAATTGAGGCACTACAAAGTCTGCCGGGTCAGCTAGTAATAAATAAAGAAAAAAACAACAAATGCACATCATTCAACACAAAAAGAGATTAGTAAGACTGCCGTCCTAGTCTTTCTAATCTCTTCCAGGCCAACAGTAGAATTTCTATCAATTATAGTAATTTATTTAATATAATATTTATTATATTTTTATATATTATGTTATCTAATTTAGTATAAATTACAATTTCAATACAACATGAACTCATAGTATGTGAACGATTCATCATTATAAATATTACTATATACATCACACTCACCAGATCTCGATGCAAAACCCAGTTTGAATGTAAATAATGTATCCCATCCAATATCTGATAGAGGAGGCTCTTCACCATTCCTTTTGGCACCATAACTGATTTTTTATTAGCTTTAGCTGCTCTATGAAATTTGATTATATGCCACAAATCATGTTCTGCATAGTCAAATAGCAGCCAGACTTTTCGGTCAGTATGTGAAAGAAACACTCTAATAAGATTTATGACATTAGGATGTTTCAACTCTCTTAATAGCTAGAAAATAAATTGTTACACGAACTTTTTTATTATGATCTAAACCACACTACTATATTGTAGACCGAATATGAAGTAGAAAAACAGCTGATAATGCAATGTTTGTTTACAGTACACAATAATTATACAACACAACACAATCAAAATAGGTGTAATATCCCATGAACATATTATTTGAAATAATAATAGAAACAAGAATCAAAATATGCACATTTTTTACATGGTGATGGTGAGTGGTTACCGTCATCCATGGACTTCAGCCAGGGGCTTAGCCAAGCCCCTGCCTACTGTTAAGTACTCTCCACAGCCCTCGTTTGAAGAAGGGCATGTCATAGCGCTTCGGAAACACCATGAAGGGGAGCTCATTTCAAAGCCGTATGGTACATGGCAAAAATATGTATGGAAACACACTGTGGATGAACTGAGTGGCTCAAGGTAGTGTGGATAAACTCTATTTCGGTGGTCGGCGGTGCGATGGTAAAAACGAGATGATGGAATCATTTCAAACAGTTCCTCATAACACTCCCCATAGAACATATGGTAATAAATTCACATTTACACAGATATAAATTATTTAAAATTTAAAATTTTTATTTAAAATTAAAAACAAATTACTTAAATGAAATAATTATGTTGTATTTATACTTACAGCAATTTCCCTACATGCTGACATAGAAAGTCCAGTTCCTTCAATTTGTTTCAAAGCATAATCTTTGGTGTCGGAGCCATCCTTCCTTCTGGCTTTATATACATGGCCATATGTACCTCTACCTACTTTACAGCCCTCATAGTCGAACAAGTCTTCCACTTTGGAACGTTCATTTTGAGTCTTGATTTTGAAATCGTAGTCCATCATCACAGCCGCCATGGTCTTATTTTGAAAGTTGTCTCCCATTGTTACGGTCGGGAAATGCAGTTTGGATCCCTGACTAATCAGGATTTATATTTTATTACACTTTAAATCATTTTGAATACCTTCCCTCACAAGTTTTATACAAGACGTTATTCACTGAGCAAGTAATCACTACGTTATAACGTTATTCTCCGTGAATTAGTGAAAAAGCCGTTATATCTAGTTCATGAGTACAAATTATATCTATACTAGCCTAAATATTTAAATTAAAACACTAAAACTAGCATAATTAAATTAAGTTTCATTCTCAAATATATTGTGTATAATCTATGGTTTTATCTGTTTTTTTTTAAGTGATATTATGACCTGGTAACTAAGACCTTTAAGTCATGTCTTATTTTAATTTATATTCTTATTTTTATGAAAAATTATAATATGGAGGGAAATGAAATGAAAATGATTAATCAACTGGGATGAAATTAAATGAAATGAGATGATATGGGATGAATATAATCTTAGTAAAATGGTGGTCATTTACTAAAATTTTTTCAGTGAACTTTTTGGAGGATCCCGAGAAGTTGCGTCCAGCGGCTTTGTTTCATTTTCCCACATTTGTGCACTTTCACAGATATTAAACAGTTAATAAACCACCGTTATTACACATTTAAACTTGAAGAAACACTAAATAGACAAAATAAAACGAAACGAAAAAATCTGACGAAGCATGTTGCGGATAATAACATGTACTTTTAGGTTAGGAATATTGTGTTCTTTTTTTTAATAAATTTATTTTATGAATCCAACAATAAATAAATAAAACAAATCACACGACTTCACTCGTCGCGTTCCCGCCAAAAAGTTTAAGTTTCATCTGTGATCATTATAGTAGCCATATGCATATTTTTAAGGGATTTTACGACCTGGTAACTAAGACCTATAGGTCAAGTCTTATTTTAATTTAATGAAAACTTTTGTTTAATATGAAAAATTATAGAAATGAAATGAGATGAAAACGAAATGAAATACAATGAAAATGAAATGAAATGAAACGAGATGAAATGATATGGGATTATATTTCAAATCTCAGTAAAATGGTGGACATTCACTAAGCCTTTTGAAGTGGACTTTTTGGAGGATCCCGAGAAGTTACGTTCAGCGGCTTTGTTTCATTTTCCCACATTTGTGCGCTTTCACAGATATTAAACAGTTAATAAGCCACCGTTAATACACATTTAAACCTGAAGAAACACTAAATAGACAAAATAAAACAAATCACACAACTTCACTCCTCGCGTTCCCGCCAAATTATTTATGGGAATTTATGTCCGGGTAACTAAGACCTTTAGGTCATGTCTTATTTTAATTTATATTCTTATTTTTATGAAAAATGATAATATAGAGTGAAATGAAATGAAATGAAGACGATTGATTTATAACATTAATCAACCGGGATGAAATGAAATGAGATGATATAGCATGAAATAATATAATCTCAGAAAAATGGTGGTCATTTACTGAGATTTTTTCAGTGGATCCCATATCATCTCATCTTATTTCATTTAATTTCGTGCCAATTGATTAATGTTACAAATTAATCATCTTCATTTCATTTCACTTCATATTATCATTTTTCATAAAAAAATTATAAACGATTAAGGTGTATGGTATGATACTTTTGCCTTTACAGTTGGAAAAATATAACTACTACTACTACTACTGTTAATTGACAGATGCCAGTGTCAATATGTCTAAATTTATCTGTGGTGTGGTGTCAAAATAAATTCACTTCGCAATAGTCGGACAATGGACAGCAGGTTTATGGATTTCATCTTTATGCTTAAACAAATTTGTTTACTAGTCTTTGTTATTAAATAAACGTGTTCATATTTTACCAAGGTAAATAATTAATTTCATTTTATATTATTTAATGTCCAGTCCAGTGTGAGTTGTTACACTTTAGAAGTCACAATGGAGGACCAAGGGAACAGTGATGAAAATATAGTAAACGCAATTGATGTTTTAACGAATATGTTTGGAAACATTGTGAGTAATGATGTGATTGTAACTATTGCTGAAAGCTGCTGCGGCAATCGTAAGTAACTGATATTTTATGTTATTAAATGTACTATGTACATACCAGGTACTTAGGTCCTTTAGTAATTGCACAAACGATACCCCATCCCCAGGTAATCGCGGTATTGATTTTCCACCCTCTGATTGCAAACATAAATAAAGCTATCAATAGATGCATGGTCCCTGGCTGTTGTCAATAACAACGCATTCTGGGAACCTAGTTTAAGGGATTGGTTTCCATAGCAACACTCATTAACGTAGTGATTGATTGCGTAGCAAATTTTTTGTTGTGTTGAAATACTGTTTTTATTTTGTTTTTTAGTGGTGGACCTTTACAATTAGTTGATTAACTTGTATCGTTTTTATTTATTGGTCCAAAATAGAGTAGAAAAATAAGCATTTGCAATTTTATTAAATAAAATAGTTTTTAATATAAACTTAGGTATTATAATTTTTGTAAAATAATGCTTATGAATATATGTTAATTTGGTTTTGATTCCATTTCTGTATATAATGACACTAAAAACTCATACAAAATGTTAAGAATGTATTCTATTTCTTTCTAAAGCATAACAATATTCCTTAATTTGGGAATTAAATTGATGTAATTTGTGAAAGGACAGTAATTAGTACTGAAATCTATGACCCTCTTCTAACATAATGGTAATAGATGTAATTGGAGGAAAAATAATAATAATCTGAATAGTAAAATAAATAAAACACAAAAACGAAATGGGAGTGATTTAAAAGAGAAGTGACTAGTGCCTGGGATAGAGGTGTTTTCCCACTCCACAACATCACCCAAAAGGATGATGGGAGATCTAATTATAACAACAGAGTATATCTCCTTCCACCCCAACAACCCCTCCTACCACCCTGCCATTTTCGTACTGTAAAATTGTTCAAACAAAATTGAAATTACATTTAAACTGCTGTTGCTGGGATAAAAAGAAATTAAATTGTTTGTAGACAGTTTTGAATTAGCTATTTAATCAAAATAATTATAATTGAGAAAACATGTAAACAGATTGATTGATCTTAAATCTAGCGAAACACCTCACCCTTCTGTTAGGTGGAGGCATGTAGGGGTGGTCCCCTGTCAGGTGTATCCACCCTCCGGATTTAATCCAGACTAGAGAGAGAGAGCTTGTTGTATAACATTTGCAATGCTTATATATATGTTGACATTTTATGAGATTTAGATGATATGTTACTAAAAATTTTCATTTGCAATGCGTTTATACATGCATGTGGACACATACAGATTTATATGATATGTTATTCAAAAGTTTTCAAATAACAATTTAATCATTATTGTTCAGGTTCTAATTTTATTTTAACATTTGAAATTAAAAGAAATTGTATTTTTTTTAATTAATTGCATAGATGGCACACTTATTGTCAAGTGGTTACTGGAGCTCATAGAGATCACAAAGTGAATGTCACCTCCTACCTTGAGACATGAGGTCTATGCTTCCATTGTGTAATTTAATGGCTACCCCATCCTTTAAATCAGAACATATTACTGTTTCTCTGCATTAGGCTGGATGGTGGTACCTACCAGTGCAGATTTATAGAATGATTTATGACCAGTAATTACGTCAATTACAGTTTTTGCAGGTTTGCTTTTTATTATATCATCCTATTTATTCATTGTATAAGTACTTCCTTAATATGTATTTTGCTAAGATTAGTAGCTGCTTCGCTCGATATGAATGCACCAGGTGTTTTATCCTGTTGACCACTTAAGATTTCTGAATGCTTTACACTAGTCTGCCTTTGAAGGCAAAAAATCTTAAAAGAAAAATGCTGCATCGGTAATAACTATTATTTTAAATGAAGGCAATCTCTGTAAAAGGTTAAGTGATATGAGGTTACCATAGCATATAAACATGCCGTACCGCGGAGAGTGACGTCGTTGGTCGTCGACTATCGCCTCGACGACCCGTCGGTCGGGCGTCCTCGGGGTGGCGCCGCGTGTCTGGTTGTAGTGTTGACCGCGGGAACCCCCCTACTCTGACCGGGTTTTGACCCCGGACGGAGATCGGACGCCGGGTGTGAGAGTGCAGGGGAGTCGTTTAGTGGGTGGGCCCTAAATTCCTTGGGTCCGCGGTCTGCTCTCAACACCTGCAGATCGTTGAGTCTCACATACCCCGCGCGCCCCCTAGACGCGGGGACCTAGTAGGAGGTTCGGCCCTCGGCCCGAAAAAAAAAAAAAAAAGCATATAAACATGAGAACGGATGATGAAGACAAGACAATACCACCTCAGATATGAGGTTTATGTCTTAGTATGGTTAATGGTTTTCTCACCATTCAAAACAGAACACATAATTACTTGGCTATAGAAATAGGAAGGGTGCTGTATGTCCTAATATGTCTCACAAGACTCCCTACTACCAGTCATGAAAATATTTTTACCTGTATTTGTATGTAGTCCTCTGTGTTTTGATACTATTGTAATAAAACTGTAGATTTACATTATATTTTATAGTACCATCAACATAACACAAGTTGTTCTAAGATAATCCGTCTTTTTATACAATTAGTGATAGTCACAGCGGTCATATTTGACTAGTACTTAATTAAAATAATAAAACCAAAATAACTTCTTCTTTATCTCCTATTTGATCAATTGAGATGAGCAATACATGTTTGATTTACATTGAAAAATTTAATTAATATTGAATAAAACTAATAGGACAAAGGAGTATAGTCCCATGCGGTGGTCTGATCAAATTAAGACGACATTGGACTCAAACATCAATATCGTTATCCACTGGATAGGATAGGAGGACAGGGATGAATGGAGGAACATAGTCTGAACAAAAGTGCTCCGTAAAGGTCACAACCCTCAGCACTCAGGAATATGATGCAAGGAGGAAGTCTAATAAGTTCAAATCCAAAAAATGTACAGTGTAAAGATCAAATCATTTTAAAATATTACTTTTATTCTGCACGCTGTCTATGTAAGGTGTTTCTAGTTTAATTTTTGTTAAATAAAAGGACATAGAATTGTATAGTATAAGAAATTGTATTGAAAAAAATATAAGCATATTTTCCAACATTGGCCAACCATTATTGTTCCAATTGACACATGATAGATAATTCATATTTAATTTTTAAATGAATTTTGGACCAAATTTCTCTATGTTGCCCACCTTAAAAATAACAGTGCAACACACTTTGACAATACCACTTAAATTAAATAGGTATTTATAATTAAATAATATTGATGTTATTTGAATTAAATAATATTATTAATTAAATAATATTGATGTTTTATAGACAGAATAATATCGTTTAAGCGATTATATTATGTTATATTGCAAAGATTGCGAAATCCTCAGTTCCGAACTGTTAAAATATATTTTTAATTATTAGGTTGATTAAATTTGGCGGTAAATTATTTCCTTATTATTTATGAACATGTCATTTAATTATTAGTTTGAGAGCGTAAATAGGATGTCGCTTTTTAATTAAGATTAATATAATACCATAATAGATAGTCTAAGGTCCGCAACTAAGTTTTCGCTGTTTTTTGATGAAAATGCAACTAGTCACGACTTTTTCCGATCTATCTTGGAGATTACGAATATCTTGACAATAGAAGTGATCGTCTTTGGAGGCTATTAACGAATTAAGCTATTCTGTGGTGTCAGTATGTGCCATCGATCGAGACAAACAATAATCGGATCTAGCCATGCCTAAAAGTCGCCGTTTTCGAAGATTACGCTGACGTTCGTGAACATCGAAATCACCATCTTTGAAGCGACGGAAAAAATGGTTCTCAAAATTTAAAACAGAATTTAAAACTCGCCGTTTAAAACACTTGTGACCTAGATATTGGGCACATGCCTTCTATGTTGAACCTTCTGCTGACCACTTATTCAGCCGGAAACAGTGTGATGGTCGACGCTCCACTAGGATCGTTTGATCACTGTCTTATCCGTGATGCCACATCGTTCTCTCGTCCTGGTAGGTCGTCTGGCGTTTTCCGAGCGCTATGATACCTATGTCCTTTGAACGACGCTTACGGAGAGTACGCAGTAGTAGGCAGCGGCTTGACTGTGCCTCTGTGCTGCCGTCCATGTGCGACGGTAACCATTCACCATCATGTAGGCCGTATGAGCCCCTCTACCTATAAGGCCAATAAAAACATTAACAAAATGATTTGTTTATCATATATCTAAACTTGGTTCACGATGTTTTAGGTCTCTAAAAATCGACCCGCACTTATTTCTGCTGCCATCATCGAACAGCAAGAATTTAGTTGCGCACCTAAGAATTATCTTGTACATTGTTTGGCCAATCAGCTCCAGCAGGTTATTGAGTATGTGGCAGAGCCTCTAAATACCCCAACTTGATTGTCTCCATGGAGCCTTGAGCCATGGACGAATCTCAAATTCGATAATTACACGTTTCTCTGAATTTACGTGCTGTGTATGACCTAACACCATTGCCCGTTCGCTTATCAGCTCAATTAGAAACCAAAATAAAATAGAAAACTAAATTATCAAACAGAAGAGCTAACAATATGTGATATTGTAATTGAAAATTCTTTATTTTCAGTTGATTTGTCAGTGGACGCAATTATGAGTATAACTAGTGATTCTAATTCAACCAAAACAAAATCAGCTGAAATGCAAGAAGTTGACGATTATGCTAGTTTGGATATAGCAACATCGATGAACAACGAAAAGCCTCCTGAATTGTCGGTCACTATTAATCAAAGAACAAGTGTAGATGAAGTCCCCATGTCTTATGTATCTGCAGCTCAAACTGCTCAAACACAATCTAAACAAATGCCAAAGCCAGATCGACAAATAATGAACCAAATGAATTTTTGGACAGACCAAATTCGTCAAATTATCATGCACCATAATAATGGTGCTAGAATAATGGTTATTATGAGAGGCCTGCCAGGTAGCGGTAAATCATATTTAGCCAGAAAAATTATAGAAATCATAATGGGATCAGATCCAAATAACTTTCACAACCACATATTTAGTGCTGATGATTTTTTCATAGTACGGGGCAAATATTTTTTTGATAAAAATAAAATATCTGCTGCGCATGAGTGGAATAGTCGGAGAATCTACTTTGCATTAAATAAAGGATTGAGTCCTATTATAGTAGATAACACTCACACTGAAATGTGGGAAATGAATTTTCCTGTTTACTATGGTGTACAATTTGGATACATTATAGAAATCGTAGAACCAAATACTCCATGGAAGTGGAATACAAACTTGTTGTTTAAAAAGAACACACACCACGTTCCTTTTACCTCTATTAAAAAAATGTTGGATAGATATGAAAGAGATGTTACCACAGATATGGCCTTAAAGTTTAGCAACGCATCATATCCCATCAACTTAACGCCTCCAGTTTTGAGAAAAATACCTCCTGTATTAAATGAAACTAACGTCGTAACAAATGCAGGTGAAAATTCTTCGTGGACACAGGCTAACTGTGATCAACAAGCTCACTCAAATGCTCGAGAAAATCAGAATAAACATATAAGTAACTCCGGTGAAAACTGCAGTCACTCATCTCAACCAATGAAGGAGATCAGTGATGATAAAATGGAATGTACATCGTACTCTAGTGCAAAAAATGATTTTGCTAATGAAAATAATGAACAAAAATCATCTAGCCACAACCAAATGGACGAATTAGAAAAAGAAAATACACAAACATCTGAAGAAAAAAATTCAATAATATTACATGATAAAGCAGTAAACCAAAATCAACTAAAGGAGGCTGAGAAATGCTTAAAAGAGATAGAAGAAGTGGAACAAGAATGGGAAAATGGAGAAATGTGGGAGGACGGTACTAAAAAAAATAATAGTAATGATAATTTACCAGCTGTCGAAACTGCCCCTAAACCTCCACGAAATTCTGTGGAAGCAAAATCTAATAAATTAATGGAATCTGTCAAAAAATGTGAAGATTGGAGTCGGATTTCCATGTACATGTCACCATGGCATGATGAAACCGAAACAATCCAAAATAATGATAAGCCTATTCCTACTGAAAAGAAAACTAGCACCACTTGCGTGGAAATAGGCGATACAGACCCATGTAAAAACAGCTACAAAATAATTTCGGCAGTAGCAAGAGATATTAATAGTTCTTATACTACGACGAGAAAAGAAAAAATTCCAGACCAGCGTATGTTAGATAAAAGCACCATGACCAATGAGCAAGTAATGACAGATTCTTTCAGGTGTAAAAATGAAGAAAAGCATTTTGTTGCATTCAGGAAGTTATTTAAAAACATAAGCAGAGCTGATTTGCGCGATGTTTTCGATAAATGCTGCGGTGATGTTAATTGGGCAGTTGACATTGTATTTGATGGAATGGCGAGTAAACTTTACGATGAAAGTGATGCACAAGATACTTCTGATGCAGAAGAAGATATAGCCGACGAATGTGATTGTTTAGCTGCTTATAATATAATTCCAGATAGAGCACAAGCCATTGAACTGAATTCCACAGCACCTGAAAGCAATGATGAAACCAAAGAAACACGGCCATTACAACAAAAACGTCCGAAACAAGAAGTTTCTTTGTCAGAAACGGTATTGCAGTTAAAAAAAGAGATAGAAAAAAGTGTGAAAATTTCAGAAGAACATTATTCTCCTCATTTTCTGAGAATAAGACAATTGCGGCGTGGTGAATACTCTACAAATGATGATTTATTGGCTGTGCCTAGTACATCCGGTCTTGGGAATAATTATTCAAATACAGCTGCTACGCCAACTGAGCTAGAATGTAAATCTAACGAGAATGAAGTATCTTCTATTAGTGATGATGACACAAATAGCGAAGCGGTTTCTGAAACATATGTAACTGTTGACTTGAGCAAGGGCTTAATTCAAATCTTAGACGAACTGTTTNATGATGATTTATTGGCTGTGCCTAGTACATCCGGTCTTGGGAATAATTATTCAAATACAGCTGCTACGCCAACTGAGCTAGAATGTAAATCTAACGAGAATGAAGTATCTTCTATTAGTGATGATGACACAAATAGCGAAGCGGTTTCTGAAACATATGTAACTGTTGACTTGAGCAAGGGCTTAATTCAAATCTTAGACGAACTGTTTGATAGAAAACAAATGCAGTATCCGGAAAACATTCTACCGGTTGCGAGTATGCCGATGTCTTTAATGAATGAAATAAACGCCTTATGGGTAGAGTCTTTAACTTATCAATTAGACCAGCAATCTGATCAGGCTTGCTTAATGTTGAAACAAGATGCGGAGCTAGCTAGGTAAGTGGAGCATCGTAAATTGATGCAAACTGAATATATTACACTAAATTCTTGAATAAGGTCTATTTAATGTGCTGTAAATGAAGTATTTTTATTGATTACATCTCGCAGTAAGGTTTATTATGCATTCTTCCAAAATGATTTCATATTTATGTACTAGTAAAATTTTCATCGAGGTGCTTATTTCATTAACTTATTTAAAGCGCTTAGGTATGATGATGGACAGATGGTTCCAATAGTCATAATATCACTGAAACCATAATTTGTTTGTACATATTAAATGTTGTAAAAATATAATTATAACATACATTGACACAAATAAAGTGCTCTTTGAAAGAACTGTACAAAGACTGAAACAGTTACTCGAAGCCGCCTTGAAATAAAATTGTTCATGTCCTTATAAACATAGGCGACTAGAATCGCTCATAGTATGCCGCGGAGAAAATTCAACGCATACATTGCATACATTTACAAGCACTTTACGGCCTAATCATATTCGTTAATTGTAATTGATATTAAATATAAGCATAAAGTTTTGTAACTTTCATAGGCCAAGAATTCCTTGTTATTGCAATGTATTTCTATAATGTCATTTTTATATTTCCAAGAATTGAAGACGCGATAGGCGCTTATTTTGCACAGGAAATTTTTAGAGTACACTCTGCATTAACATTGCAGTAATAGGGTAAGAGAAACTGAAGTTCGCCACTCAATTGATACCATTTTATTAATCTATCTTATATCTTTTGCTGTTCGTTAGTCTCGCTAAAACTCGAGAACGGCTGGACCGATTTAGCTAATTTTTGTCTTCAATTATTTGTGGAAGTCCAGAGAAGGTTTAAAAGGTTGATAAATATGAAAATTCTCGGAATTAAATAAAAATACAAATTTTGTTTTTCCTTTGATGTGTCCCCCGTCGGACGGATTCCTTTTGTTTATTTTATACAAAAGCTTAGGTCTTTTATTTCTCAATTGAGGCACTACGAAGTCTGCCGGGTCCGCTAGTCTTCAAATAAAAATGATGGTTCTCATTTCGTGTTTTAAAATTCTGAACTCGCCTGTAACAATATAATAAAAACTCTACAGGCAACTGGCTTCAAAAGAATTGGAGTTTATACAGGAGGGCAGGGAACCAGTTGTGCCGGATTTCAAAGAAATTATGGATATGGATCTTGCAGTATCATTGTATCAAAAAGATGTGGCGAAATGGAAGAAAAAAGAACCACAAGACTTGGCCGCTAAGATGACAAGAGAAAAACTTTACAACTTGTTCCCGGAAATTTCTCAAGATGTTCTAGGAGAATTACTAATGGCCCACGAAAATAATTTTCAAACCACCGTTGAGGTAAGTTATACGAACTGAGCGATGGTTTCAGTTAATAATTCCACTTTTTTTGTGATTCTCCTAAATGAAATTGCGCAAATACCCATACTGACTTACGAAATTAACAACCCGAAAGCTGTTTGACTAGATATATGTATAAAGTCTTTTTGGATGATTTACTCATGAACTATATTTATTTATTTATTAGGCACACAATACACATTACAAGCTAAAAAGATACACAAAAAACAACAAGTAAAAAAAAAAAACTGGCTTGCAACATAAACCACGTGCGCACGACTAAGCAAAACAAATGTGCTGAGTTTGTACACATGGTCCTTACAATTATCCAAACTTATAATTTAAGGAAATAATTTTACTCACAATACAAAGTAAACAATTGCACTACTTAACCTACTATTAACATGGTGGATGCCCTTGAACATTTTTATAAACGTCACTAACCTACAAGTAAAACTCCAATATGTAACATTCGGGAAGGTTGAGTTTAGGTGTTAGAATTACAAAGATCATTGCATCTTTTGCGGGTTGTGTTTCATAGAAGGGTAATTCATTTTCAGGTGCTGCTAATGTCAATAGGACGAACAGATATTTTGGAGGCCGAAAATGGATTAAACAAGTTTGTAATGGAGAAGGAACTTCAGCGCCAAAAGACTATACTAGAACAGGAGAGAAAGGTATTATTAATACAAATCAACTTTGTTCGGCAGAAGAAAAGTTTTAAAACGCCATTTTTATGAGCAGGCTCTTTCGGAAGAGGAGTGGCCTTTACTGCCAAAAAGCGAAGTGGTCGAAATGGGAACCGTTCAGTATTACCGGGATGAGGCAGAAATGCATTTAGAGCAGCGCAACTAGTGAGTACTGAAATGTAATGCAATTTAACAAATTGATGTAACAAATATACCATTTACATAGCGTTACCTTATTAAGCCAAGCCTAAAAATAATAAGCGGATTGTTCAAATCAAGTCATATCGAGTGAAGCTTCAATGTCAAGGGAACAAAACATGAAATTGTCGATCTTCATTGATTCAACTTCAACTCAAACAAGGGGATGGCAGTAGCGTCACATTCGCATGGTCGCATTCACCGGTAATCGTTTTAGCGCAGTGATGTTTATTAGATTACACAATAAAAAAAATATTAGAAATAAAAAAAAAATCATTACAAAATGAACATTTTGCCAGAGTTGAGTTGAGAGAACTATACTTGAGACCTTAGAACTTATATCTCAAGATGGGTGGCGCATTTACGTCGTAGGTGTCTATGGGCTTCAGTAACCATTTAACACCAGGTGGACTGTGAAATCGCCCACCCAACTAAGCTATAAAAAAAAATTCTCTTCTACGCTGTATCTTTCATTTATATGAATCGAATTTTATTATTGTTTTGTTTTGTTTGATATAAGCTATCAATCATTTACATATTGTGCTATTGCTTTGAATCGACACATTTAAAATGAAAAAAAATATTTCATAGTAATCATAACAAGGCGCAACACTGCATCCGTTTGGGGATGCTGCAAGTAGCCGACTATTATATTGACGCTGCCAATCTCCATAAGCAAAAATACGAAATCGCCAAAAATCTCGCCGTTGCTTCACTTATACAGGTATGCGTTTATTGTTATAATAAAGAAATTGATCTGTCACTTTATTATTGTGTGTGCGGAACTAGTTGGCCGCGCCTTATGTATGTGAGCGGTGGGACGGAGAGGCGGAGACAAAACGCACATGAGATTGTAATAACGAGATGAGTCCGCCGATATCAAGACAATCTCTTCTTCTTTGTCGTTTCCTCATTACTGAGGGTCGTGACCACCTTGGTCCAGTTTTTGCACCAGCTTCCTCCAATGTTGCCTGCATTCGGCCTGCTTAATGGCGCCCGGGACGCTGGTGTTTGTGGCCTCCTTGATAATGTCCGTCCACCTGGTTGGCAATCTTCCTCGACTTCTCTTTCCTTCCACGACAATCTAAGGAAATCATATTTAAAGTGCATTCGTTTTTAAAAAAACGGAAAGCCGATGTCCGTAGCCGATAAATTAGTAGCAGAAGCAACAGGGATATCAGAACGAAGTGTAAGGAGAGTGATTGCTGAAAGTAAAACTTCCTTGTAAACTACAGAGGAAGCAAAAGTTCTCCGCGGAGACCATAAGAAATAAAAAAGAAAATACAAGTTGATGATTTTGTTTTACGGAAGAGATAAAAATTCCAAGTCTACGAAAACTAAATTAATTAATTACAATTAGAATTAATTACAATTAGATAGGTACAATATAAAATTCTAAATGTTAATTTTTTATTTATTTTTTATTTTCAATAATTGAACGATTATTGTTTACGATATCTCGAGATTGGTTATCACTGTCTAAGCTCATGTGCGTTGCGACTAGTAGGCAACCCGCCCCCTCACCCCTGTTGCCACCTAAGGCGCGGCCAGCTAGTTCCGCGCGCACTATAGTAGTGATTGATAGTGGTGAAATAGGAGTTTTTGTCATTTAAAAATTCTAATTTGATTTTTTATACACAAACTTGTTTCAAACGCTGGCTGAATATATGATAGGCAGCGGTTTGACTCTGCCCCTGACATTGCTGATGTCTATGAGTGACGGTAACCACTTACCATCAGTTGGACTGTATGATCGTCTAATAACAAAAAAATAATATATTAAAAAGAATAAGCGATAGTCCCATTGCTTTAACTCAACAAAGAATAGTGAATTCTTTTCCTTAGATGAATAATTTATTTAAGATTTTTTGGCTTTGTTCTTATTCTCATAGTAATCACTCGTAGTGTTTATAACTTTTATGCGTTAATTTATAGTCGGGTACTACAAGTTACTTTAAAAAAAAAATACATTTAAAGAAATTATTTTGCCTCGCATTTATATGTATTTAAGATACTACAATGCTTGGTCACATAACTTAAGTCCTTTGGGATTTGAAATATATTCAAACATTAATTCAGGTTCACGCCACAAGGAATCCGGACAGTGCAACCATAGATCTTCATTACCTGCGCGTTCTGGAAGCCAAGGAGTCACTTGACATCTTTCTGGACACGCATATACGCAAGCTGAAAGAGTCGCACGCGCGCGGCGGTTCGCGATACAACACGCTGTATTTCATCACCGGTAGGGGCGCTCACAGCAACGGACGACCGAAGATAAAGCCCGCCGTGAAGAAGCGTTTGCTTCAACGGGGCCTTGCGTGAGTAATCCCAAAAAAACAACCTTTACTGCTAAAGATATGGTGTGGTATTTGTGTATCTATATGTATATACATATATTGGATTGTTACACCGCGTTCAGTGAAATATATATGTATATATATAACGAATTACGGGTCTCTTGTGAGCCTGCACGGGTAGGTACCACCACCCCGCCTATTTCTACCGTGAAGTAATAATGCGTTGGTGGGGCAGCCGTTGTAACTATACTGTATTGTAGATGTCTATAGGCTCCGGTAACCACTTAACACCAGGTGGGCCGTGAGCTTATCCACCCATGTTAGCAAAAAATAAAATTGTATTTAAAACGTATTTAAGTGCGTATGCATGTCAGTCTGGTGCCCATAACACAAGGAATCTATTTGGTGTCGGACGACCATCAGTGATTAGTTATTTATTATTGTTGTTATTCTTATAAATATAAATATAAATAAATAAAAATATTAAAAAATATATATATAACATTTTCAGCTACTCTGAGCGCAATCCCGGCATGCTGACGGCCAAGGTATGCGCGGATGACAAGCTATCGTACCAACTTCAGAGTTCCTAGGATCAGCTTTCTACAACATTGCCTCTATTAAATCAACCCTCGTATCATTTGAATTCTCAATCACCGCAATGCCCCGTATTGATGTATCCATTGAATTACAACCGACCTCATTACATTATGTACAACGGGTGGTCAAGCGCTGTTTATTACAATCCCTATATCAATTATTTCTTTTTGAACCCTAATATGATGCGAGTGTCCCCAAACGCATACCGTTACGTCTATGGTGTTTATTATGGTAACAGCGTTTACATATACGGAGCTTAGACTTGAACACATTGAATATTAAAACGATTTCATAAATCCTATTTCATAGTAAGATTATATCTTTATGCTTGAATTAATGGTAAGTAAATGTGTATATTCGCTTTCCCCTCAGTTTTTGCTTTAGCAAAGTAAAGCGTATTTAAAAATAAATACAATTCCGTATATATGGATAAAAGAGAATACACATCATCATTAGGTAAGTGACGCTCTGTTCTATTGAGGTAATTGTTGTAGAATTAATATTTTGATATCTTCTATATTAAAATTAAATACTTTATTAGTACACGCTCAGTAAATAGTAATATATTTTAATGCATAAGTAGTATGCAGTATTTCATTCTTGCAAGTGTAACATAGAGACATTTAGTGGTAGATTATTCATGCCAAAAGACATATTGACTTAGTGAGCTTATTAATTTAATATTGACTTTTGTTTACAGTTTCTATGCCATTTACATAGTAATAATGGACGTAATAACAAAAAAAAATATAGTATTAAGTTTCTATGTGTAGAACATTGAGCATATTCAAATTCGTGCCAAATTGTAACATCGATAAAATTAAATAATCTTGAATCAAAAGTAATTAAAATACTCGTAAGAACCGTTACATAATTAAATAAAAAAAATACCAAGTTTCTAGTCTATACTTAGGTGGTTAGTAACTTTAATATATTATTAAAATGTAGAAGAGTAAAATATGAATATTTTTAATGGACATTGCGTTACCGTAGAATAAACTGAATAACTTTTTGTCTTGTAGATCAGTAGTATTTAGTAGTAGTAAATAGAAACAAATACATATAAAAAGTACCCACTATTTCCATATTATAGTAATCAAATAATAAATTTAAATAAAATATAGTATATTATCAATTTTTGTCTTATAAGAATATGATATATATTATCAACAATATATTATTAAAAACGCTATGGAGAGATGAAGACGGAAGATATTAGTAGAATTCTAAGTGTAATTCTTTAATTTTAAGAAAAATATGTCCCTTGTCCTTCTAGAATATTTATGCCATGATAATATTGCTCCTCTTTAGTTACCTGTACAAGTTTAGATGTGTACATTGCTATATAATTATATATAATTAAATAGTAAGGACTTAAATATTCGTATTACGAACGAATTTATAAATCGTGTTACCGTAAATGAAACATTATTAACGACCGTGAAGCTAGACCAATGTTTTCACCCGTTCGCCTAGCGTTTGAAATACAAATAAACGTTACTACTACATAGTCTATGAAATTCCATCTTTTTTTCTTATCTATGCGTTGGTAGCCTAAGGGGTTATTCCAGCTTCTCGCGGACGGGTAGGTGAGCTCACGGGCTCAACGTGAAAGAATTTTCTAACACTTACCACCGTAGCGAGAGCAGTGCTTCGCAGAATCTACCGCCGGATCGGAATCGCAGCACACTGAGAAGATCCGACGAGAAACTATTGGGCTGTGGCTATGTTATAGTTCGCTCGTCTAGCTCTTCGTCGCGATCGAAGAGTTCGACGAGGACGGTGACCGGTGCTTGAAGAACCTAAAAGCACCTAGTGTGGATCCGGGGGATCCGACAAGCGATAATTTATAATCCAATCCTTAATACATGTAATATGTAAGAGATAACAATCAAACATTTCAACGATTTCCATTCTTTAATGTCGTCTTCTATGCAAAAATAATGTCAATGTAAATTGAGGAAATCAATGAACTATTTGAGGAAAGCGTCTTTAAAATAAGTGACGCCCGGACTGTTATTATGAAAACTTTGAAAGTGAAATGAAATTTCCTGATGACACATGTATGACTTTATTGATTGGACGTGACTTGGTTTAGAGTCGACGATGTCGCTAAAATTGTGACGTAAATCGGATATTATCGAAGTAAATTTGGCTATTCCGCCCTTATTTAGATCTGGTGGATAGATCCAATGAACCAGATTTGAAGGATTTGGGTTGCCAATAAGTGAGTGAAATTAACAAAACGAATGACTCGTTTGTTAATAATAGGAGTACGTACTAAACAAGATATACACAAATTTTTGAAGGAATCAAAAGTGATCATCAAGAATAAGATATATTTTAAGCCGGCCTGTAAAAGACCGAAGTATAACCAGGTGAAACTGATTATAATGAGCTGGCATTGTTTATCGTGGAAAATTCGATTCTATATCGATTTATGAGATAAAAAGTTGAAGTATAAGCTTATTCGAAAAATATGACTATGAATAAAAGAAACAATAATATGAAAAGAAATAATAATATAATAAGAAAAAAATATAATAAAGAAACAGTTAATAAATGGATGTTTCTTTTATTAGATTACTTTACGCAGTTAATTTTTATTTGAGAAATAAAACGTTACTTGTTCGTTGATCGTTATCGGCGATTAAATTTTATCTTTCTGATGATCCTATTTAATGTCTGAGACGCGATAACATTACTTTTTGTCTGGTCACACTTCGATATTTTAATATAAATTACAGATTATTTGCAAAAAAAATTACAAATTTCAGTAAAGCGTCGGTATTCACTGATTTTCGAAGTGTGTACCAATTAAGTGGGCAATTCTTAATATTAAAAAACGACTAATAAGCGTTTTAACTGACTTACAGTTAGGACTAGTTTTTCCGAACGGTTCGAATTCAGTTGGTTGTATTCTGTTTATAAAAATAATTGCCCACGTGTGTATATAATATTAAATTTAATCAGATTTTTCATACTATTTGTCTTTAGTAGGAATTGGTGTTGTGGTAAAATATATACAAATTGAGGAGTTTTCAAACGAAAAGTCCCTTTTATAGAGATATTTTATAATTGAGAAGTACAATAAATCGATAATATGAACTACGGTAGTATTAAATATACAATGTTTGTTATTATACAATTCTATTAAAAAGGGATTTAATATCGATTTTAAGGCTCTTCGATTAATTTACTTCATTAAGTTGTCCCGTTTATCTTTCTTTCATTTTGAACTTTTAATATGGGTTCGTCTGTGATTTTTACAGGGTGAAATATATCGGACTTAGTTTAAATTGTACCTCTCGAAACACGATTATTAAAAAACCGAATTTATTTTCACATTTTTGTCCATTTACGACCAATCATATAAATTATTTATCTTTGTACAATTGGCCTTATAAAAAATTAAGCGCAATTGACCTTTTATCGGAAAAATATATTTTCATAAATTTACACTACGAAATAAATAAATAGATTGTATTTTATATTTTGTAAAAACAATTTCGTACAAAAAAATTAAAAGATTTTATATTGCTTTTATGCCGATTGTACAATACGTATTTTTATGTTTGATTTTTAATCCGTATTCGTAGTTTTAAGGATGTGTCGTGTTCAATGTCGTATTTAAAAAAAAAACCTTTAAATCTTAGTCATGCCATGAAATTCCGTACGAACTCCCCGATACTAGTAGCTCTTAAAATCGTAATCATATAATTCATGGTTAGGTTGTGTTGTGGTCACATAAATATGAGAAGTAATTTTCTTCGTCTATTAAAACCGGAAATCGTCGTTCGGCATTCGTAAATATGAATTTGGTACATTAAACAGGGTGTAATATTCGAAACTTTTCGAATTCAACCGATTTGGGTATCTAAATTTTTTCCTGTATACATAAATTCCCAAAGTTATATCACCGTTCTTAAACACAGTGACTATCCACTAAATGTTTTTTTGTTTTGCTATTCTCTACCTACCTAATTGATTTACTTTGATGCACAAAGCAATTTCGATAGAAATATTTTTTCCGCTTTGCTCTGTGATTATTCAGTATTCTTTCTTCTCTCGGCCGAAAATGAAATTTTCGTGAATGTCAAACTACGATTTCTAAATAAAAGGTCCAGTGTGCTTAGTGTAGTTTTTTAACGTTCTCGATAGCGTGAAAGTTAACTCAGCCAAGAACATTAAGTTTGGAACGGCGCCCGTAGCGGCAAACGTAGGCAAACAAATTTGAGTCAACTTTTACTCCTACTAGGCACACGGATCGTAAGATGTTTTCAATCAAGGATATCTGCTGTTGAATAGACTAAAAGTATCGAAGGTAAAATTCCCAAATGTAATAAGCGTTGAATAATTATACAATGGGTGCTGGTTGTTTGCCTTGTATACGGCCTATAGGTACCGTTGTTAGGTACGGTAATGTGTAAGATAATAAAATAAATGTTACAAATTATTTAAATTATTAAAAATTGTAACACAAGCCTGAGGTTTCTTCCTGAGGCTTCCTACTATTTTTGGTAAACTTTCGATTTAATTTTGATTAGAAATGCTCAAATGTTTGTGGAAGATATAATAGAAAAAAAATGTCCATCATATCACAATGATATTGTGCATCGGTTTTATCCGGGAATAACGTATTAATTTGTATTATTAAAGAATTAGGCTTTTTGGCCTTCACAAAAATATTTACACGTGTACATTAATTATCTAAGTGCACATAGTAAATTACTATTTAATCTAAATGGTTAACTTGCAGTATGAACGAAGATATTATATGCCAGTGGTTGCTTGCATTGTGAATTATGCACCAACGCTTTTTTTTGAGACGGTGGAAGGTCCTACGGGTCAATTTAAGGGCACAACATGATATGCAAAATAATAATTTGTTTCAACACTCAAGTGTGATCACGTAAAACGTAATAAGGTTTAAAAGAGAAATAATGATCGGGAAAATGGTGTGTAATGTGACCGCACAACTCTGTTTGCACTTGGTAGCTTACAATAGAACTTAATGTCTGTCAATGTATTTGCTTATATTCAATTCTGAAAGATTTCTATAAAAATGAAATTTTGTTACACAACGTATGTTTTTACAATCGCCAATGTTTCAGATTCAATGTACATGGAACTCTTTTCAATTCACAATATGATCTCAGTTTACTGCGCGACAAAAAAATGCTTTTGTAGAATATAAGCTTTTGGTGTTAGGATTAAGATAATCAAATAATATGCATGTTAGATATAAGATTCTCCCACCATATCGTACATTATGTCCGATTATTGTTTAGTTTCTTTAAAGGTCAGATTTTGTTATAGAATGTCTGCAGCAGCAGTTTTACAGGAGAGAAAGCTTAAAGAGAATGTTAGCTTTTTATTTTTTTTAACAAAAATGTTTTTAGTTGATCACTCAATTTTACATGAATGCCCGCATACACTGTTGAACTGAATTGATTTTGAATCACAAGGCTTAAGAGGAAGAGTACCCCGCATCCTAAAACAAAAGAATATCTAGATACGTCACCGAGGCCACATCTTCTCATGATTTTCAGTCATCACGCTGTACATTGCTAGTTTCAAGTTGTAAATGGCAATCGCAAAAATCAACGTCGTATACAACCCAAATTCTTCATACATACACAAAGAGAGCTGTTTTTTTGGTTATTATTAATGTGATCGCAGGTTGTGTAATTATTTTCGAATTTTTGCTGGATATTCGACAGATACTACTCTTCCTCTTCTTCTTGCCTTTACCCATTGATGTGAGGTCGGCGCAGCAAGTCCTTTTCTCCATTCGGCGTATTGTTTTTTCACTACCTATGCTGATAGCCTTTATAGGCTATTTCAGCTTCTACCTGACGTGTAGGTAAGCTGACGGGGCTCAAGCCGAGAGTGTTGCTAACACTGGCCCTAGCAAGAGCAGTGTTTCGCAGAATATACCACCGGATCGGAAACGCGACTCACTGAGAAGATCCGGCGAGAAACTCAGTGGGCTTTCACCCTATAATACGTCATCTCTGCACGGACACCTCGCGCATATTCCCTTTCACACAGTCCATCCAAGTCGTTTAAGACGTCTCTTCCTCACATTGCCGTCTATTTTTATACTTAGGTCTTTATGGCCGACAAGTACTACTATAAAATATGTTTTAATATCACGCAGTGTAATGACGTCATTCGCATTACTTCAGCGGCCTTAAGTTCACAAATGCGATGTTCAAAGGGATCGCGTCGACCCGCACAAACTCCGGTAACTGATTGAATTTAAAATGATTTCATTTTATATTAGTATCGAAAGTAGTATTGACTTCAAAAACATTTTTGTTTGGATACCTATGTATATGTAAACATAATTTTATTGAATTCCAATGTTTCATCAATCGATCCGTGCTCGACCGAAAAGCTTGCGTGTAAATTTAGAGTAAGAATATTTTTGTTCAAAAAAAAACGAAGTTGATTTTTGGATAAAATTAGTTTTAGTTGTTTTATTAATTTTAAGTGAAACAAGATTTCGTCGTAAGTTTTAAGTTGTATACGCTCAGAGCTGTTTAATGCCGAAGGCCGTAAGGAAGTTTGGATTTGTACAATTGTACATAATTGTGTAGGGGTAATTGTTTGGGATAGTAGGAAATGAAAAACGTTGGGTGCTTGGAAAGAACGGTGCAGTGTGATATGTTTGAAAAGTTCTTAGCGAACGTTAAAAAAAAGAGGAAACTTTCGGTCTTGTAAAGGCATCACTCGAGTACATACAAACACATTTAATTTTATTAAATGTTTTATTTCAGTATGACGTGTAAACTTGAAACTATAAATTTAATGGTAAAACGGAACAAAATAATTGTACCTATATTACTTACTTGCGTATATGTGTTTTGAAGTTTATAAAACTTTTTATTTTATTTAAAAGACATTTAGATTACGTTTTGTATTATATTTTAGTATTTGAAAACGTAAAACTACAATATGAAGATTTGGACAATAAAAATCGTCATATCATATAGGCGTACGAAGCAGCGAATTAGATCGATGGTTGGATAAAAGGTATCCAACGTGATATGTGAAGCAGAGGTTCGTGTTTTTTATAATTTAAGAGGCTTGTTTTTGGCAGTTATATTACTAGGTGAAGTGTGATAATAAGGATGCACTATGGTCAATGTATCGTCACGGTGACGTCATGTTTCGTTGTAGCGATAATTTTGAAATTCATTAAAGGAATTACGCAGATATAATAAATAAAAAAATTAATGACTATTATATAGGAAACTTTTGAAACTATGCATAGAATGTCGTTTTGTTGTAAAGGTCAAAAGATTAAAGAGAAATTATTAAAGAGTAGAGCTGTCAAAGAAAATGCCATAATTGTGAATATGATAAGTTTATCTACACGAGACGACGTTTAGTTCTTGTACAGATGAGGCGGCTTACAAACTTATCTGAAGAGATTTATGTATCTCCAACATCGTATTGCAACTTTCTTTTGCTTGTAGGGCTTACGACGAGGCAACTTATTGCAGAAGTAGGTACCTGTTAGCCAGTCTATTACTCATAAGATTATTTTAATCCCGTCAAGTCATAAGCACAGCGCACCTAGTAATATGAACACCGTTGCTCTGTCTTTCATTTAAATTTGTTTATTTTGTCTACGAATACCTACGTCGTAAAATATGTGTTTAGCTGTAAGTCGATGTTAATTGATTGTCAATTAAAAGACAAATAAAAGAAAAAACTTATGTGCCAATTTTATTCAATCATTTAAATCCTTATGCATGTGATCAATATGTGAATGCATATACAGATATGTATATGAGAGTATGATCGTTCCTACCCACCCTCACAACACGCGCTATTGTCAGTATCACGCTTTCTTTACATTCATTTTGAGATTTAGTCGTTTTTTTATTTATTGCTTAGATGGGTGAACGAACTCACAACCCCCCTGGTGTTATGTGGTTACTGGAGCCCATAGACATCTAAAACGTAAATGCGCCACTCACGTTGAGATATAAGTTCTAAGGTCTCAGTACAATTATAACGACTGCCCCACCCTTCAAACCGAAACGCATTACTGCTTCACGGCAGAAATAGGCGGGGTGGTGGTACCTACCCGTGCGGACTCAAGAGGTCCTACCACCAGTGAACCGGATTTATGACCAACCGGATTCTAATCTTTTATTGTGGACGCGGCTCATGAACACTTGTCGGAAGGCTAATAGAAGCCAGTGCATTGGAAGTCATGTCAGCTCATGTCTCTAAAGACGGTAGTGTTACACCTTAACAATCATATGTATTAGTAATAAAATTAAAAGTACTTTTACAAATGAATACCGTCGATATGAATATTTCCAGCTTACATGGGTACGCACGAGGTTATTGTGCGAACAAACGCGAGAGCAAACTTTTAAACTGCTTTCAATTATGTCCACGTCTCGCGAGAACCGAAAAGAATACACACGTATTTTGTTCACGAGAGATTTCACTACCTACGAAGGAACTGGCCATAAATACTGTTACAATTAAAAATAAACAAAATATTACATTTGAATTTGGAATCTGTCATTTTTATGATTGTTCATTGAGTTTTCTCATTTTGGCGCCAATACATTGTACAATATTTTGCGATATTAAAATGGTGTGGGGTGATAAAGAGAACCGAATCGCTGTGATTGCATTACACAAAGTAGGTATGGAGCCAAATGCAAATTTTAAAACTCTCCATACGCTTGGTATTAGTAAAATGTTTGTGTACCGGGCTATTAATAGGTGCAATGAGACCTCCTCTGTTTGTGACAGAAAAAGATCTGGCCATTCACGTAGTGTTCGTACGAAAAAGGTGGTCAAAGCAGTAAGGGAAATAATTCGAAGAAATCCTGTCCGAAAGCAAAAGATTTTATCTCGGGAGATGAAGATAGCACCTAGAATCATGTCGCGTATTTTAAAAGATGATTTAGGACTTGCAGCCTATAAGAGACGTACTGGTCATTTCTTAACTGATAATTTAAAAGAGAATAGGGTAGTAAAATCGAAACAACTACTGAAGCGGTACGCAAAGGGAGGTCATAGAAAAAAATTGTTTACGGATTAAATTTTTTTTACAATTGAGTAACATTTTAACAAACAAAATGACCGTATTTATGCTCAAAGCTCTAAGGAAGCTTCCCAATTAGTCGACAGAGTGCAACGTGGGCACTATCCGATTTCAGTGATGGTTTGGTGGGGTATTAGCTATGAAGGAGTGGTGACTGAGCCATACTTTTGTGAAAAAGGTATCAAAACATCGTCACAAGTGTATCAAGATACCATTTTTGAGAAGGTAGTGAAGCCCCTTAACAACACCATGTTCAATAATCAAGAATGGTCTTTCCAGCAAGACTCGGCGCCAGGTCATAAAGCTCGGTCTACGCAGTCTTGGTTGGAAACTAACGTTTCGGACTTCATCAGAGCTGAAGACTGGCCGTCGTCTAGTCCCGATCTTAATCCGCTGGATTATGATTTATGGTCAGTTTTAGAGAGTACGGTTTGCTCTAAACGCCATGATAAGTTGGAATCCCTAAAACAATCCGTACGATTGGCAGTGAATAATGTTCCCATGGAAAGAGTGCGTGCCTCTATTGATAACTGGCCTCAACGTTTAAAGGACTGTGTTGCAGCCAATGGAGACCACTTCGAATAAGCTTTTTATACTTTAAATTGTTTTATATTTATGTATTAAACTAACACACTGTAAAAGTAATAAATGTTATTTGCAATAGAATTTTTTTTTCCTTTGTTTCAGTATTTATGGCAAGACTAGGTATACCTATGGTGGTAGGTCACGCACGGAAAGCACAATTTTCTTGTCTATTTAATTGTCTGCCGGGAATTTACGTTTTCGAACTGTGGTATAATAGCCATTCCTACCCATTGTCTCTCAATTTTGACAATAATAAAAGAGTCCTTTCAGTTACGTAGATAAGAACACTAAACGATTTCACTGAGACTGGATTGAAAATATCAAGGCAGTGTCGTAGGTACCGGTTGATATTTATATGCGGCTACGTAACTTAACGTTAGCAATGATTAAACGAGTTGAAATGACATTAAGTGCACTCAGGTCCTAGTTTTGTTCATGGTCGTTGACCCCGAGTAAGTGAAGGCTACATGTAAGATCAATTACAGATGTTATCTGGCCGTTACAAAACTGCTCCCGTTTTTGTATTATCTCGAATTTCATATTCAAGCTTACTTAGCGTGTCCTTCTGATGAACTTTTAAATTCTAAAGTAATTATTGAACTTTATCATAAGTATTAATGACGTGGTCAAGTTAAAACTTAACAGAGCGTGAACATTAAATAATACTTTAATTTAACTAATATCCTATCCTATTCTAATAATACTTTAACTAATATCTGTAATATAATTCTCGTTTTGTACTTATGAATATTAGTGAAAATTACATTTCCATTCATTTCTATTCGCGTTCTGTTGTTTGCTGTGCGCTCTTACACAGTTTTAGCTGTTTATATTAAACTTTAACAAAGTTCTAGATACGTGTAAATGAAGTAACATATAAACACTATGGTACTCATGGAGTACCTATTATCTTTGGGAACTTCCCTAAAATTAAAGCAAATAAATAGCGTGAACGTTACGAAAAATAAGCGCATTTCAAAAACTTAGAATGTAGTTACTAGTACCTACGTGTCAGTGGTAGATCCACTAATTACCTTTTTTTTGTAATTGTGAGTACCTGTCAAAAGCATGTAAAAATACTTCTATTATAAAAACTATGGTACTAATTAAAAAACCACCTAGTGTCACCAAAAAAACCTCGTAAACATTGGAAATGCTCAACGACTTCCTCTCTTTGTTTTCTGCGTTGAGCGTGTTGCGATTGTAATTGTATTCTTCTGTATCCGTCCAATGTTTCAGTACACCGTATTGGCTTAATCGATGTAGTATGCTTTCTAATATAGGTTTGAATGGACTCCCATAACGCAAGCAGAAGACCATTGAGCACGGGACAGGACATTCGGCTACGATATGAAACAATTTTCTCCCGTTTTTCATATTAGCCGGTTTCCGCACTATGTTCTCAGCTTCAGTCCTACGCAACAGCACAGCGTACTGAAATTGTCTCTCGTCGATGAACTTTTTGATTTTTTTGTCGCTGAAAATTTCGATACGATTTTTTAAGCTTTCGTAATGCTCCGAGTTCAGACTTGAATTAAAGATTCCAAAATCTCTGTTGTGCACTCCGAGGGTAAGATTGCTTTTCACAAGATCATTCATAGTATTTAGGTTTGGTTTGTATCTTGGATAAGTTATTGCTGATGTCAATATTGCCTGAAAAGATACCAGAAATCAGTTATCATAAAATACACATGTGTATTTTTTCTTATTTTTTAACTTTACATTAAACAGAATTAGTAATACTACTAGGTATTTGTAGTCGACTTAAAAACGCTTGAGCTCGCAATATGCTCGAAATGTTATCGGGAAGTTAATTGATTCGTCAATAAGGGTCGCCGCACATGGGCCATTAGTCACATCCACAATCGCCGCCATTTGAAGCTAGAAGCGACTACAAAAGAAGCTGACGCGCGCGACAGCCACTTGTGGTCCATGCTGGACACTTGCCGTCGGTGGCTGCTACTTTTTTTAACGCGTACTTGCAGTATCATATTGGACTTCGACGAAGAAATGAAGGGAGAGAGGGGTGGGGAGTCGCGTGAGTGGCTTGTGTCGGCATTTTGTGGCCGAGCCGACCACTAGAGGCGAGCAGTGGCGATTTGTGGCGTGTGGCGACCACCGGCGTCTACAGTTTGCGGCGAGTCCATGCAAAATGTATGAAAACAACAGGAAATAGGCCGGTGGCTGCGTTTTGTGGCTGTAGCTGGCGGCCCGTGTGCGGCGACACTAACACATTTTGTTAAAAGAACTAAACTTACGTAATAAATTTACTTACATCTATGACGGAGTTTATAATAAGCGAATAAATGACAATAGCCAACGTAATGCATCTAAATACAGGACCAAAGAATTTTATTTCTGCAGTTTGTCGCAGGAAACATTTTAGGATGTCAATCATTACAGAACCAACAGTTTTCTTATCTTCGATTTTCATTAAAGCTTTTTCAATCTTTCGAACGATGAGCGCGATGCCAACGAAACAAATTGCAAAGCAAATTAGGGAAATAAGGAGTTCACTCGTTAATAAATTTAACACCGTTGTGAACGTGGATTGTTTATCTGATTTTTTCACTATGAAGCAAAGTTCGTCCTGTGTTAATGGGTATGTGGTATCAATGTAGCCATAAAAGGAATTTTTCAAAATTCTAGAATTCAATTCCATATCGGAGTATCCATCAATTAAATCTGACGTGGCTCCCGTCGCTGTTCCGTTGTCTAGCAAATCTCCCACCGTCGAACCGTCTCTAGGAACTAAAGATTTACAAGTAGCGTTCAATTTGTCGATTACAGTTTTTGCTAGATAATTTTTGTGACAACGTATCGGACCCATTTCGTCATCAAGATATATCGTTCTATAAACGCTTAATCTCAATTCGTGCCCGAAAAGATTCTTATACTGTGAATTCAAAAAATTGCTTACGTCTGAGACGTTCGTAATGTCTCGTATTTCGTCAAAAAACGGATTATAACTGTACGCTCGTAACTTATGCGACCACACCATTAGGACAGAGTTTGTGATACTCCTGCTCCACAATAATTGAAAGTGCATTTTAACGTTATAAAAGAAATAGCTGTCTATTTCAACGGGAATGTTTACGACAAAAATCACAGCACTTCTTGGCTGAAAAACTCCAGTGCGTTTTAAAGATTCAACTGCTTGCTCGCTGTCTTCTAAATGTAAATTTTCCGATGTTATAATGTAAACTGTTTGACCGTGAATATTGTACTTCGGCTTGAACTTTGCCCTATCGTTGCGAGGGCAGGTATTTACGAGCATCACAGGATTTCCATTACCGTAATTTTCGGTATATTTAATTATTCTGTTTTCCATGTATGAAAATTCACAAAAGGCAATGGTAAAATACCACTGCTCAAATGAATTGTAAATATTGCTAACAACTTCAGAAGCAAATATTGCTTTTGCGGATGTTTCAGAATGGTAAGTCATGATCTCTTGATAAAGCTGGTTAGTTTCATTAAAACATGTTACGTCGTGAATTAAAATAAGTAATGTTAGAATTATAAGTGTATTGAAATCGCGTGTGTTGCGACTCATGTTGAGAGCGGAACTGCGAAGTCTAGGGTGTAGCTATTACATGTTTATATCATTAGTGGGCATGTTATCGTATAGTTATTGAGTGCAATAAAAGCACGTCAATTAAGGGTCGGTAGGGAAAATATTGCTTTTAATTTGTGCTTCGATAAATATTTGATGTCCTAGAAACTTAATTGAACTTCATTCAACGATAACATGTCAGTTTTTTATGAGGTTAAAATACGTTAAAATACGTGACGAGTTTTTATTTTTATTTATTGCTTAGATGGGTGGACGAGCTCACAGCCCACCTGGTGTTAAGTGGTTACTGGAGCCCATGGACATCTACAACGTAAATGCGCCACCCACCTTGAGATATAAGTTCTAAGGTCTCAGTATAGTTACAACGGCTGCCCCACCCTTCAAACCGAAATGCATTACTGCTTCACGGCAGAAATAGGCGGGGTGGTGGTACCTACCCGCGCGGACTCACAAGACGTCCTACCACCAGTAAAGAGTTATGGTACCACAGAGATCTCGAATATTCCCAGTACGCAACAGAATCGTTTTCGAAACCCAAAATAATAATATAATATATAACATAAAATAATAATAATCCACCCGAACGGAAAACGTTTATTATTTGTTTGCCATTTGTTGATTTTTTTAATAATTAGAATAAACAATACAAACAAACAATTTATAAACTCCCTTGTTCGTTCTAACAAAGCCTTAGATATATTATTCATATGAGTAATTAATTAAAAAATATATAAAACTTGTCTTCCATTCTACTTTTCTGATTATAATCCTCTTCATCGCAATTCATTAAATTATTTGTCGCCAACTGTTTGTCGGAGACTTATTGATCGTTGCCTAAACCTATTTGAAAACAACATATTATGGTTTTAAACCATTATTCGCTCAGTTTGATATTATATCCAAGGCCAATCAAATAAACGCAGTTCTAAACGGTCCCGTCAACGAGTGCACATGAAAGGCCGCGGTACGTGAGGAATGGCGATGTCTCGTGAAGCTCACCACCACCCGAAATGATGACTACGATCACCCTGGTAGGCAGCGGCTTGGCTCTGCTCCTGGCATTGTTGAAGTCCATGGGCGACGGTAACCACTTACCATCAGGTGGGCTGTATGCTCGCCGGCCTACAAGGGCAATAAAAAAAAACCCGCCAAGAGTGCAAACGACAGAAGAAAAATTATATATCAACACAGATCAATCAAAAAAAGGTGGTCATTGCCACCGGTATTTATCAATCAAACCTTGTTACGTTAAAAAGATGGCCATTACAAAAATTGAAAAAAGATAATATGACAACACACATTTCCATGATATGATGTTAAAAAATCTAGTACGTAAGTGTGTAATCGGATGCATTCTATAATCCATATTATTGTTATAATATTAAAGTACATAGAATCTACGTAGGCTTCCCTTTGTTTTTTTTTCCCATGTTGCGATTGCAAACGACTTTATGACTTCGTATTTTGTACGCGGTGTACAATAGCAGTACGATTTTCCAAAAACGTCCGACAGCAATCTGCTGATCTCAACCTTCGTGATTGATTTAAATAAGCGCGCGCCCAAAGTTAATATGTGGAACAGTCAGAGCAGTTAACCTCGACTTTTAGATGGAGTCTTTCACCTATACGTTAATGATAAAGGGATTTGCGGATATAAACGAGGCTTTAAGATTATTTTATGTTTTTTTTTATTGGAATAATATTATAGCTTTGCATGTATACCTACGAATTTTAATAACGTGGAAAATTACGTAAAGAAACCGTTATGGTAGTGATTCTGTGGCTGTGACAGTAAGACAACAATTTCTAAATGAATGAATCACTATGTTACTAGGGATAGGATTGTGCGAATTAGGCGACTGCCAATTGGACAGTTAATCTACGAATGGTCGAATCGAATCACCCGGATACCGGTTATAGATAGTTCGCTAAATACCCACATCTTATTGACGGAATGCCAGTTCCGAAGCGACTTGGACGCTAGGAAGCACATCCTCGCCTTAGCGTAACAGCGTAACGCTGTGACTTCGCTCAATAAGGCCTGGACCGTGGCCACGAGTCATGAAAATACATGCCCGTCTTTTGTGACTTCAACATTTTGCAAAAGAGGGCGCCGGGACATGGGAGATCAGGCGTCACGAGGACGGTTTTTCCTTTCTACCTATGCTGATCGCTATTTCAGCTTCTCCTTGATGTGTACGTATCACTACATAGACTTTGAGGGACATTTATTGCTTTTTAGATTATGTTCCTTTTTTTTCCCTACCTATGCTGATAGCCTTCAGAGGCTATTTCAGCTTCTCCTTGACGTGTACGTGAGCTCACGGGGATCAAACCAGGTGTGTTGCTAACATTGAGCCTAGCATGAGCAGTGCTTCTCAGAATCTACCACCGGATCGGAAACGCGACCCACTGAGAAGATCCGGCGAGAAACTCAGTGGGCAGGACGGATTTTGTCAGATTTCCGCCCTCTTCTATGTGGTTATAGACTTATAGGCTACCTACAAAGTCAGTGTTTTTCGGGTGATGATCCTAACTTTTTGTATTTCAAATCAACACATAAATTTGTCTTTTAGGCACTTCTTAGGAAGGTTCGACGCACGCCCCAACACATTTAGACAGATTGACGAATTTGTCTTGAATGAACTATGATTAGATATATGGTCGATAGAAATTACGTTTTATTTTCCGAAAAATTATATAGTTATAAATTATGTCCCCGTTTGCGCTTGATAACTTTAAACTCTACAAATACTTGAATATTTGACGCAAATATAATTGAAAATTCTGTTAAAGAAGACAAAACGAGTACAAAAACTTAATAAAGAAATAGCGTTGTTGATTTGAAAAATTGATTTGGAATTCACTCCCAAATTCGTATACGTACCTTCATGTATTCTATAATCTTTTACTTTCTATAACATCCGCAGGTAATCCAAACTCCAACATCGAATCAGTATCCTGTTGAGATTACCGGTTCTATTAATAAATGCTATAAATTACTAATAATTAATTTAAGCAAATCACTAGCATAAGTACTAGTTGAGTTGCGAAATTTTTAATGGATGCAAAGATTAATGCAAGTTATCATACCGACTCAAAGTGTTGGAGTATTGAGCATGTTTCTTTGACAACTACATATTTACGTCAAATATTAATAAAAACTAGAGGTCCCGCAGTAGTCGAAATTCGACTATAATTAATTGAAATTGTAAGTTTCTACACTATTATGATTGTATTTTATACTTCTATAATCACAAATTTCGCCAAGACTACACTATAAAAAATATTAACAAAGACAAACAATATTTAATCTATTCTCAATTTCACAACAGACGCCAAGAACAAAAGTTTGACAATAAATAGTATGCATGCGTGTGTGCGTCAAATACATGGTATGTAGTGTGTGTAATGTTTTCTTTATTGATTTAATGTATCTTTTATGCATTATTTAAAAAAAATATTAGCATTGTGCACTTCTTCTCTATATTCTCTNACACAGAATATTAAATCTAAGACAAGTGAACGCTGCGCGCGCTTCCAGCAAAAAGTGATCCGAGGTGGCGTGATGTCCCCGCTGGTCGGTCGGTTGCCCCTCCAGATGACGAGTTGCCCCTCCAGATGACGTCACGAGTCCACGTGAGTGCTCGTCGTCAATGGCTCCGTCCATCGACTTTGACTTAAGAGGAAGTCGCCTCTAATAGTACAATATTTTGCGATATTAAAAAGGAGTGGGGTGATAAAGAGAACCGAATCGCTGTGATTGCATTACACAAAGTAGGTATGGAGCCAAATGCAATTTTTAAAACTCCATACGCTTGGTATTAGTAAAATGTTTGTGTACCGAGCTATTAATAGGTGCAATGAGACCTCCTCTGTTTGTGACAGAAAAAGATCTGGCCATTCACGTAGTGTTCGTACGAAAAAGGTGGTCAAACAGTAAGGGAAATAATTCGAAGAAATCCTGTCCGAAAGCAAAAGATTTTATCTCGGGAGATGAAGATAGCACCTAGAATCATGTCGCGTATTTTAAAAGATGATTTAGGACTTGCAGCCTATAAGAGACGTACCTACTGGTCATTTCTTAACTGATAATTTAAAAGAGAATAGGGTAGTAAAATCGAAACAACTACTGAAGCGGTACGCAAAGGGAGGTCATACAAAAAATTTGGTTACGGATTAAATTTTTTTTACAATTGAGCAACATTTTAACAAACAAAATGACCGTATTTATGCTCAAAGCTCTAAGGAAGCTTCCCAATTAGTCGACAGAGTGCAACGTGGGCACTATCCGACTTCAGTGATGGTTTGGTGGGGTATTAGCTATGAAGGAGTGACTGAGCCATACTTTTGTGAAAAAGGTATCAAAACATCGTCACAAGTGTATCAAGATACCATTTTTGAGAAGGTAGTGAAGCCCCTTAACAACACCATGTTCAATAATCAAGAATGGTCTTTCCAGCAAGACTCGGCGCCAGGTCATAAAGCTCGGTCTACGCAGTCTTGGTTGGAAACGAACGTTTCGGACTTCATCAGAGCTGAAGACTGGCCGTCGTCTAGTCCCGATCTTAATCCGCTGGATTATGATTTATGGTCAGTTTTAGAGAGTACGGTTTGCTCTAAACGCCATGATAATTTGGAGTCCCTAAAACAATCCGTACGATTGGCAGTGAATAATGTTCCCATGGAAAGAGTGCGTGCCTCTATTGATAACTGGCCTCAACGTTTAAAGGACTGCGTTGCAGCCAATGGAGACCACTTCGAATAAGTTTTTTATACTTTAAATTGTTTTATATTTTTGTATTAAACTAACACACTGTAAAAGTAATAAATGTTATTTGCAATAGATTTTTTTTCTTTTGTTTCAGTATTTATGGCAAGACTAGGTATACCTA